GTAAGCATTCATATAATGGACCGTTCTCTAAATAGAGCATAAAGAATTATTCATGCTCTGTTTATAGAAAAGTTTTGTATGTGTCAAAATATCCAACCACCACGACCAGATAGCTTAGTGGGTTTTTGAAAAGTGGGAAAAAACACAATATGCATGTTCTCTTCATCATAGACAAACAAAGAAAAGATAGAGCAGAGCATTAAAATGAGAGAGAGAGAAAGAAATACAGAATAACAAAGAATAACTAGACACAAGAAATAAACGTAATAAACTAGAATCAATAGAACTGAACTAAAGTAAAACAGAAATCAGACAAATAAAAGAAAGAGAATAAGGAACACAGAATAAACAAACCTCAGAACACAGAATCCTAATACATGAATGTTTTACATGTTTTATTAATGATTATCAACAAAATGCGGCTTTTTGACAAAATCACAAAAAACTCCTAAATACATGGGTTATTATTAACCATCTTTAGTTCATTGCTGACAGAATAGAATAGAATAGAATAGAATAGAGCCGTGTCAGGCAGAGTGAAGCATGCAGATTCACACAAACCTAAAATAATGTAAGCAATACAGTTATTAAATATAACTCCGTTTCAATGACATGCATAATTTAATGCTTTGAAATCAACCAATCAGGATGATTTGGACAAATAAACATGAGCACACAGTTAAACTCTAAGCTATCCTAAGCGTTCATCACACCCTGAACTTATTGGTGTCCCTAAAGGAAAACTTGCTTACTTCAACACTTGTGGTTTACAGTTAGGAATCCACACATTTTTACTTCTGCAACACATTCCTTCAACCCTTCCTCTTTTCATAATCTCTTTAGATTACTCTGAGTCCTCATACTTCAGCTTATTGGATTTGTTTTGTGTTTAATTTCCTGAACATTTTGAATAATTACTGACAATCCAAATACGGGTTTTTTATCAGATTTCCAGAAAAATCAGACCCTACATTTCCCAGGGACTCTGAAGACTGTGTCTGTTTCTTTCTGATCCATCCTCCTCTGGGCAAAGCACGTAGCTCAACCAAAGCTGAGCAACCTTTAGTTGTTGAGGTTTGTGATGGAAAAGGCGGTCCAATAGAAAAAGACAGACTGTGGCATGAACATGCAACTGTTTAGTTTAGGTGTAAAACAGCGACTTTTAAAGCGTTTTTCTACGTCTACTTGATGCATCAGTCTAAAGCTGTTTTGTCTCTTCAGCTGGTCCTCCATTTTCTGTCTGCAGATGTTTTCCTTCTCATTTCCTCTTTGTTTCATGATCTCAAAGCTCCTTTATTTCAGGGTCGATTCTGCTGGAGAAAGACGGGAACTCATGGAGCGCTAACAGCTGATGGCCGGTGTGAGAAATGGGAGCAGGATCATCTCTGAACACAAACACCTCAGAGAAATGAAAGCAAAACGGAGCTCTCCGAGGTATGAACCGTCGCCTGGTGTTGTTGTCGGGGTGTTGTCCTTTTCACTTCCTGTGTCATTTCCTGTAACTGCATTTGATGCGATCAAAGTTTTGTAAACCATGCAAATGCAGTTATGTTGTGGACACAATGTTTTCATCAGATAAGTACACTGTAAAACATTTGAAGGTGGTTTGGATATGAAAATCCACCTGCTGCCTTGAAAATGCAACTTAAGTCAACAAGTAAATTGTATTGACCTTAATTCAGAAATTATAGTTTGTGAAGTTAATTTAACAACAAGCAACAAGTTGCTATAAATTATTTATTTTAAGTTCTTATAGTTCATTAATCTTGAATAGTGAGTTTTAATGCTGGTATTTAAACCAAATAATTATTTCACAATATGGAAGAAAAGACTTGTTGAAGAGCCACATTTCTCCGTTATTTTCACTCAATTTTTTATTTTAGAATCATTTAAATTATTTTTACAAATTGTGTGAACAAAATTTCTGATCTGGTCATAAACTTTATTAAACATCGTAATTAATTCTGCTCTAAAACATTTAGTGTGCACAGGACATTATCCTCAGACTTTACAAACTGAGAATTTCATTAAAATAAACATTTTCTTAACAACACAGGAGTAACGCAATGTAACGCATTTCCATCTCTGGATACAAAAACACGCCGCTAAGCATTCTGGGAAATAGTTCCCACTCCTGTCCTTTTCTTCTTTCAGTTTTTTAAATGTTAACCTAAAAACTCTCGTTTATTCAACTCTAGAAAGCTTAACTAAAATAATAAAAAGTTAACTTTCTACTGTAAGTTTATCTTTCACAAACTCACATTTAGGTTCAAAATCTAAAACTTGTTAAATTTATTTGACTTAAAGAGTAGAAGACAGTAGACACAACTAAATGCAGCTCAAATGTTTTACAGTTTTCAGTGATCCATCAAACATCATCTTCATCTTTTCCACCAGTAGTAACGCCTCGTTGTTCACTAATGACTCATTTGACATAAAAATAAAAATGTTTCCATTCCAGTTTTGATAGTCATTTTGATGCAGGTGTAAATATCCTCATGATGGTGCAAAAAAATTACTGCGTTAACGTGAAACACATTTATTTTCGTAATTCCAGTTAGTTTATCCTCTTCTGCTCCTCCCAGCTGTTTGCATCTCTCTGATTAGACTCACGTATTTCCAATGTCACTCTCCTCCACTCTTCAGTATTTAAGCTCCTTGTTTTCTATTGTTCACTGCTGATTTCTTCTACGTCCAACCTGCCTCCGTGTCCTGATCTCCTGTCTGCGAGTTTTTCCTAAATGAACTCTTAAATATCATGTGATGGACGTTTTTTCGTTTCAACAGGTTTCGCTGCCTCTGCAGCGACCAGTACAGCCGCGTTTATCTGTGTTTACAGTTAAAGTTAATCTCCCTCATGATGAAACACATGGCTGGTTACTCCCCATATCTGACGGCGCAGGAGGGTCTTATCAAAATGTAAAATCCTAATGTTTATGTCCTGAATCTGTTCCTCTGAAATAAACTGGAGGTTTAAAAATGCTCCATTAAAACCAGTCCCATTAGGGCTGATTTAGTCTGGGGTTGACCGGGTAAGGTTTTAAACCAAAAATGGGTTTGAGTAATATTAAGGTTACCCAAACCACAAAATATCAGTATCATTGACCTGAATGACTTAAGAGAAAATATGTCATTTAATTCTGCGTTAAAAGCTATCAGATTAAAGAAAATCCTGAAATATAGCATGCAAAATCTAATAAGGATACCAAAATAATAAAATAACTATTCTACCTTCAGTTGTTAAAAATGTTGTATATCAAACCTAGAAGAAATCTGACTTAACTTGAAATTTGGCCTCTGTCTCTTTAAGAAGCTCCTGTTTGTTCCAACACTCTGCCTTCAACATCTCATCACTATTCCTAAATAATGCAGTTTGCATCATTCCTGGGAGCGTTGAGAAACAGTTCACATACTGAACTCAGCAGATGCAAAGTTCCACCAGGTGTTTGCTAACTGCTGCTGCTAGTCTGGAGGGGCTGAGTGGGAGGCGAGCTGCTGCTTCTAGTCTGGAGGGGCTGAGTGGGAGGCGAGCTGCTGCTTCTAGTCTGGAGGGGCTGAGTAGGAGGCGAGCTGCTGCTTCTAGTCTGGAGGGGCTGAGTGGGAGGCGAGCTGCTGCTTCTAGTCTGGAGGGGCTGAGTGGGAGGCGAGCTGCTGCTTCTAGTCTGGAGGGGCTGAGTGGGAGGCGAG